AAATATCAAAAAAATTTCTGACTTAAGCACTTATAATGTTCCCACTTGAAAGTTAGATAATAGATAAATTCACGCTTATATCAATACTGACAGCTATTGAAACTGGTGAACAAAAATTTACTTTGTCATATGTTTGTAAGATGGAGTCAACAAAATAATGGGTAGCATTTTATCAAGAATTGTTATTCCTTTTTGCTAAAACAAGTCCAAAAATTAACCGTTATTAAATCTCTTAGCATATGACATTTTATAAATTAATACTATCAAATATATAGTTGTTTCTAAAATATTTTTTTACTTATGTATAATTTATAAGTTATGATCATTTTTTCTACTCAAAAATTAATTTAACTTTAATTTTGGTTAAAATTCAGCCAACCAAAAAATTAGGAAATATTACTTTAGTATATTGTAATATAATATTTATTTTAATTATTTAGGAGATCATAAAGTAGAGCGTCCAAAGGCATCRTCATACACTTTGGCAAAAACTTACAATTTCAATCAGACACTTATGGAACGAACTATAAACAATGGCTTACCTTTAAATCGACTTGTTAAACAATTCAGAATGCGACCAGAAATAATGTCACTAGTCTTGCCATCTATTACWGATCAATTAGAGAGTAGTGAACATACGCTTAATTTACCAAATATTATTGGAATAACACAGAATGTGTACTTCATTGATCATAATATTACAGAGGTATTAACTTATAATTTTAAATTGGTATTTTATTATATTTAACTAATAATTAATAATTAAAAACTAGGATAAAAGTCACATAAATTTACATGAAGTTAAATTTGCAATTGGACTTGCTCGTTATCTTTGCTTACAAAATTATAAACCTGAAGAAATAATGATTTTAACAACACATAAAGATCAAGTCTCTGAATTTGTTAAGGTAAATTAGTTTAGAAAACCCATAATTTTAATTTAAAACTTTTTAATTTATAATGGAATTTTAATGATTAGTTTAAAGAAGAATCTYTACTTATTAAAAATATAAATATATCATCTGTGGATAACTGCTCATTAAATGAATGTGAAATTGTAATACTATCCACTATTCATAGTACTAAAGGAGATACAGGATTTTGGAAACATGAAAATCGGATATGTGTGGCTTTAACAAGAGCAAAATCTGGATTATACATTATTGGAAACATAAGCAATCTTATAAGCCAATGTGAACTATGGAAAAGTGTAAAGAGTTCTCTTCAAAGTCTATGCTCCCTTGGTATAAAATTARCATTATTTTTTTATTTTTTATTTAAAATTGTATATTTTTTTTTAGGAAGTGAATTAACTCTAGAGTGCTCCATACATAAAGGAACATTATCAAAAGTTTCTAAATCTGAAGATTTCGTAAATCGAAAATGTCCTCGTCCTTGTCTCCAGCAATTAAAATGCAATCATTATTGTCAAAGTATTTGCCATACACGTGATCGTGAACATATGTTTATGTTTAAATGTAGAAATATAAACTGCAGGTATGTTTTATAAAGAACTATACAACTTATTCTTTCCATTTCACTGAATTTTTAAGGTATATTATAATTTATAGTATGTAATAGAATTAAATATGCATACATACTAATTATACTGATTATATAATTTTCATTCAAGTAATTCATAAAAGAGGTMTAAAGAAAATATTCTTTAATTAAAAATAGTAAAGCTCAAGTTTAGTATTTTTGCAATATATATATATATAGAGAGAATGTATATAATTTAAAAGTCAAGTCAAAATTAAAATAATTATTTCTGAGAATTATTTTTCACTCTAAAAATAATAAGTTGAATAGCGTTGAGTGCTTTCAAAATAAATCCATATTATAATATTTAGGTATAAAAATAGTTTGTATTGTAATCTTCTATATTTTTTTGTTTTTCAGATCATCTAAATCTTTAATCCGCTACCCATTAAGAGACATATTTCTGCTATTTTGGGAGTATAGCAAAAACATTATTTATGAAGTAATTAGTCAACCAATTTGATATTTTTTAACTATTGAATTTAAATTATGCTAGATTCTTAGTAAAATATTTTTAATCTAACTGAGTAAAATTCAAGTTTTTCTTTTACCATGTGATACCTAATAAATATAACCTAGTCATGCATTGTATAAGTATAAATGTATAAGATATTGTCTGTATTAATAAAATGTTCCTCAAATGATTAAATGAATATGTTTATTTTTTTATATAAGACCTAATTAGCATTAAGTGTACAGTGTTACAAAAAAATTTTCAAAAAAGATTATTAGAGCAGGTAGCCAATTTACTACAATAATCTTTTTTATAATGATTATCCACAAATTATTATATTTAAAATCCAAAAAAAGTCACATTGTATTGTATTTAAACTACACTTTCTATACTAGACCTAATAACTTAATACCAATCAGTGGCATATACGCGTGACTATAAGGGGTTGTTCAATCCATAGGAAAATTGTGTTTTTTTTACTGTATTAGTAAAAACAGTTTTAATATAGTTTTACAATATTACAATATCTCTATAAGCATAATAAAAAATATGCCTACCAATCTTTTATGTTTTTTAACTATTATTATAAGTTGTAACAATTTATGAGGAACCTTGTATTACATTTTAGTTTTATATGGTGAACATTTTTTATTTATAAAAAATAAATTCAAAAATGTTTTATACCGATAAATCATTTAAAAAGAGTTAATATATTTTGAAAATATTGTGATGTATAGAAAATACTATTATAAATATTCGGAAAACAAATAATAACGATTATTATAATATATTATATTATGTTTTAAATATTTATTAATAGCTCAAAAAGAATCTTTAAAATAATTGATTAACAAAAAATGTCAAGCTAGAAAAATTTGGCATCAAACCCACTACCCAGAGCACATTTGTTGAATTAAACTAATTAATAAATAAACTGAAAAAAGATCTGCAAACCTTTAAAGCCAACCAATTTCATTCATTTTTATCATTACTTATACCAGTCAATGGTTCCTTTCCTTATAGAAATCTATAAAAAATAAAACCAAAAGAAAAGACATAGTCTCCCCTTTAACAGATCCTAACAACACTCTAGCCATAACCGACAGTAAAAAAGCAAATTTATTCGGCAATCACCAATCAGAAACTTTCCAATCCCACTTGGATACAAATAACAATATAACAACACTCATAGAAAATGTCCAGACTTTTCTTAAAAGTTTACCTATGCCACTACTAGCTAAACCAATTACACCACAAGAAATAAAATATTATATTATTAAACTACGCAACAACAAATCCCCAGGGTATTATCTAATTAACAACAAAATACTCAAAAAACTAACAAATAAAACGATCCTTCTTCTGACTCACTTATACAACACAATGCTCAGGTTATCATACATATATGGAAATTCTCAACAATAATATTAATTGCTAAGCCAGAAAACCCAAAGTATTTAGTAACCTCATACCACCCAACCGGCAACCACCCGATAAGTCTACTACCGACGTTAGGGAAACTTTTCGAAGAACTATTTCCTAAAAGAATAACTCAATAACTCCTAATATCAAAGAAAAAAATTATCATCCAAAATACTCAATTCGGATTCCGATCATATCATTCGACAATCCACCAAATACACAGAATCACCGATAAAATATCATCATCATTTGAAAAAAAAGAACACTACCCGGATGTATTCCTTGATATCGCGCAAGCATTTGATTGCGTTTGGCACGACGGATTATTGTTCAAATTMAAAATCGTTTCTACCAGCTCCGTATATTCTCATTCTAAAATTTTATCTTGAAGACCAATATTTCACTGTTAAACATAACAATTCTTACTCTGCACTACCATAAAATCAAAGCGGGGGTACACCAGGGAATTGACCTATCACCTATATACTCTACAATATCTACACATCAGATGTCCCCAAAAGAAACCTTACAACTCTAGCGAAATATGCAGACAATACCGCTATACTAGCATCAAACAAAGATCCAAAATTCCAAACATAGCCACCCACGATATACGATAGCATTTAAATCTAATCTCCAATTGAACTCAAAAGTGTAAAGTTAAAATAAACAAAACCAAATCAGTTCAAATAAATTTTTCTCTGAATAAAAACGAATGTTCACAACTTTYGCTCAATCCTCAATGATTTGCCAATTACTATCCAAAATGTTACCAAATACTTATAGGAGTTAATTCAGATAAAATAATTACCCAGGCCCAATACACAAAACAGAAAAGAAAACAATCTAACACACGTCTACATCTCCTACGTTCATTATTGTCTTCTTCAATGAATTTAAAAAACAAAATTTTAATATTAAAGACGATTATTACCTCCCTTTGATCATATGGTATTCAAATCTGGGGCCAAGCCAAACCATCCAATATAAGACCCATATAAGCTTTCCAGTCCACATGTCTCGGACAAATAACTGGAGCCCCATGGTATATGACCAACGACGCATTACATAAGGATCTACAAATCCCAACAGTCAACGAAATAGCAACTCGACAATACAAAAAGTTCCACTCCAAACTGCACTCAAGCCAAAACCCTCTAATTTCCCTCATATCCTCTATAACCATCGCCAACAACCCTCTGAAGAGGTTAA